TTGTTGTTGTTGTTGTTGTTGTTGTTGTTGTTGTTGTTGTTGTTGTTGTTGTTGTTGTTGTTGTTATTGTCGTTGTTGCTGTTGTTGTCGTTGTCTTTGTTGTGTTGTTGTTGTTGTTGTTGTGTTATTGTTGTTGTGTGTTGTTGTTGGCTAGTTGTTGTTGTTGTTGTGGTTGTTGAAGTTTTGTTGTTATTGCTGTTTTGTTGTTGCTGTTGTTGTTGTCGTTGGTGTTGTTGTTGGTGTTGTTGTTGTTGTCGTTGTTGTTGTTGGTGTTGTTGTTGTTGATGATGTTGTTGTTGTTGCTGATGTTGTTGAACATTATTAATTCTAAAGAATAATTATTGTTGGGACCCCTGGTGCACGGCCCCCCTGCGCCGCCTATGCCGCAGCTACATTTTCATCATTTTCGTGAGGAAGCCTCAGGTAATTCGATGTGATCAAGATCCGGTTGTTTTGTTCCCCCCCGCTTTCCCTTGCAAAAAACACTATAAAATGACATTTCTTGTTCTAATATAATCAAATTTCAAGAATCCTTTGCAAAAAATAAGGTAAAGTGGACATTCGCGCGCGCAAGACGAAATCCTTCCAAAAGCTTAGTGTTCGGAGCGATTTTAACATAAAAACAACAAAAAACCAATGGTTTTTCAACAAACAAATGTCAAAATCTCATCCCGCGCGCTCTTGCGGATTCGTAGGAAAACCAACACTTTTTAAACATTTCTGTCAAACGGGCTTTTGCGAGCAACTTTTTCGAACTTCTGCGACAACGGTTGCGCACCTGACAGGGCCATCATCCCTGTCAAATAATACCATGCGGGACACATTCGTTTTTTCTTCGCGCGCGCACGCCGAAATCTCCAAAAACCAGTGGGCTTCTTAAGAATTTTAGCACCGCGCATCATAAAATCACACGAATCGCACCGTAGGTCCTCGAAAAACACCTGCACGACTTTTCAAAATTTCTACCCGCGCGCGCTGTCCGAATCCTAAAAAAACCAATGGTTTTCCAACATTTATGTTACATGAGCTCGCGCGAGCTACTTTCGCACGCTCTGTACCCATGCGCCAGTGTAGTACCCATGCGCCAGTGTAGTAGCCACGGTCGTCCGCAGGCCACGAAGTGAAGTGTCCGAACGTCATAGGGCGGGAAGCTGGGTGTGGGTGGTGGCGAAGAGTCGTGTGGAAATGTGGTAGAGCTTGAACCGGCCCCCCCACAAAGTGGGGGTATTGGCGGGCGCCGTATGAAAACCCTGGCACTGGTGAGAACGGAGTGTCCCCACGTGCTAGTAATTGTTGTTGTTGTTGTTGTTGTTGTTGGGTCACCCCGGGGAAGGGCGTCAGGGAACGCTCCCACCCCCCCAAGCTGGGAGCTCTGGCCGTCCCCCTCACCAAGGGCGCCCAGGATCGTCCCTATCCATGGTGTTGCCGTCCTCATCGTTGTTGTTGTTATTATCATCTCAGTTGATCTGATCATGCCCATACCATCATACCCTTCCCCCTCTTTTCCTCCAGCGCTCCGCGCGACGGACTCCTTCAGGCTTCGTGCTCCCCCTCCTTCCCCCCTCCCTCCGCCGCCTCACCCCTCGTCTCTCCCTCTCTCTCTCTCTCCCTTCCCTTCGCCCTCGCCCCCTCGGCTGCCCCCCCAAAGCGGGGAGGGGGTGGGGGGAAGGAGGCCGCGGAGAGGGACGGAAGAAAGGGCTGGCAAGGGGAACGGCAGAGGCTGAGGGAGGGAATGGACGGGGAGGCGGGCGGGGAGAAATGGGACGGCGGAGGGGGACTAGGGGAAGGCATCGGGAGGAACGGTCGGGAGGTGGAGGCAAGCGAGAGGCGGAGTGAGGAGGGGCGGTGGAGGAGAAGGCAGGACGACCGAAGCAGTGATCTTCTGGAAGGGCTGGGGAGGGGCTACGCAGGTAGACAAGGGGGAACGATGGACGGAGGAACGGTGCAGGCGTGACAAGGCGGAACGACTGGAATGGCGGAGGGATGATGAACGAGGTGGAGGGGAATCGAGCAAGGAGGGTGCGGAAGGGAGGATAGAGGAGGTGAGGGAGAGGAGGGGAATGCGTGGAGGAGGAGGAGGAGGAGGAGGAGGAGGAGGGGAATGCGTGGAGGAGGAGGAGGAGGAGGAGGAGGAGGAGGAGGAAGAGAAGGGGGGGTAGGCTGCACAAGCGTGTGCGAGGATGGAAACCAACGACCGGTACCACCCCGGCGAACGGGTTTTTGGGGAGGATGGGGCTCGATAGCCCCCTCACTGCTATGACGGCACCGGCGGCGATCCAGCCCACGAACCATCTCCTCAGTTTGTCATGCCCAAGTTGTTTTGGTCGACGTCACTTTGTTGGGTCCTTGGGGGCCGCGTCAACCAGGGGCCATCCGTCTTCGTCGTCGTCGTCGGTGGCGTCGTCGTCGTGGTCGTCGTCGTCGTGGTCGTCGTCGTTGTGGTCGTCGTCGTCGTCGTCGTCATCGTCGTCATCGTTGACGTCGTCGACATTGACCCCAGGAGGGCCGTGAGCTTCAGTCCCGCGTGGACAAGCTCAGTCAGGACAACCAGAGGATCAACCAGGACGCTTTCTCCCGCCCTCCCCGCCCTCTTCCATCGTCTCCCGCTCCCCCCCTCTGTCCTCCCTGCATCCCTTCCTCCCTCGTCCTCGCCTCCTGCCTCGTCCCTTCTCCCTCCTGCCTCGTGCCTCCCTCCAGCATTCCTCTCTCGTCCCTCCCTCCTTCCCTCCCTGTCCTTCTGCCCTCCGTCCTCCCTCGTTCCCTCATCCCTCCCTCCCACCCTCCCTCCCTCCCTCTTCTGCTCTCCGCCTTCGTTGTCTCCCTCGTCCAATTCCTCCCCCGATCCTGGTGGCCTGATTCATCTGGTTCTGGCCCCGACGCGCGTTCCATCCCAGCGGCGCCCCTGACGGATTCTTGGCCGCGGGACGTCGTCCAATATTGCACCCCAAGGTCTGGGGGGATCCTACAGGGCAGTTTATAATAAATAGGATTTCTAAAAAGGATTTTTAATACATGATTAATGTATGAATAAATTTATGCATGAACTCATTGTTGTTTTGCATACGAAATACCGGCATTTCTAATGCATGATCCGCACGCGGAGCATGCATAAAAAACGGCACTGTACTGCACCCCTAGGTTTGGGGGGATGTTCGAGGATCGAGGTTTCTGGATGTTCCAGAGGATCGAGGATCGATGATCGAGGATCGATGCCCTCTGCGCCGCTGGGCCTCCAGAGACCCCTGGAGATCGGAGAGGGAGGAGGACGGGACGATCTCTGCAAGGCGGGACGACTCACCAGCATACCCACATATCAGGAGGGGAACAAAAACACACAGACACAATTGGAAAATATGGGAGCATATGGGAAATATAGGAAACATAGGAAAATATGGGAAAGTATGGGAAAATAGATTCCCAGAAAATATGGGAAAATATGGGAAGTGGGGGGAAAACAAAAACCCAGAACATGTGGGAAAATGTTGGGAATCCTTTGATTTGCATCTATTTATTTGTGTGTCCCAGGGCCCCGTCAATGCCCCTTTGCTGCCGGCGTCGTCGCTTTGGAGGCAGCCGTGGATCTGATGTGGGAGCTTCCGAGAACGCCATCCACGTGTGATGCAGCGGGGGCCCGTGCCAAGAGACACCCTGCTCGCCTCCAGGGTGCCCTGGGCTTCTTGGGCTTCGATGGTTGTGCCGTGGCAGGCGTGACGTCCCCACGCCAAGAGTCGATGGACGTCCTGGGGTCTCAGGGTTGGGGGGGGGGGGATTTTATTTCTTCCGGCTAGGTTTCGCCACGGCTTCTTCGGGGAGGAGGAGGAGCATGAGGAGGTGAGGTGATTGAGGAGAGGAGGAGGGGGGAGGAGGGAGGATAGAGTAGGGAGGAGGAGGAGGGGGGAGGAGGAGCAGCGACACTTGGGAGTCCAGAGCGCCGGCGTGGACGCACCACGCCTGCCACCGCTGGCCTGTGGGCGCTCCGCGCCTCCCCACCAGCGAGCCCATCACGAGCTGATCCCCGGGCGAGGGGGCCGCCGCGACACCCTCCCCTCCCCCCTTCCCTTCGGGGGCGGCAAAGGGGGGGGGGGGGTGACTAAGGGTGGGGGGGGATATCATGGCGGGGGCATGATATCTCCCCCCAATTTCATGGCGCCTCTTCTTATTTCAATGCGTTCCCTGGCGCACCGCTGGGCCGGCCACTGTTGCGCGACTCTGTCCAGCTATGCGTCCCCGCCCCGACCCCTCTTGATCCTTCCCTTCCTCTTGGCCGACCCCGACCCCCGGCGCCCAGGTCCCTCGCGGCCTCTGGGCGTCGAGTCGTGGGGGGGCGATGCATGGGGGGGCCGCGAGGGCTGCAGAGAAGGGGCCCTGGAGGGCCCCCGAGTGGGGCCTTGTGCAGCCGACCCGTATCCTAGGGATGCGCGGTGATAAGGGTGCAGGGGCCTTGGAGGCCCGCGCGAACGTTGTTTTGGATCGAGGCCGGCCAGCGAAAGAGTCGCTGGGGCAGGCCAGCCACAGCTGGGGAAGCTGTGGTCCTACCCCCCTGGGGGATGCGCGGTGGTAAGGATGCAAGGGCCTCGGAGGCCCGCGCGAACGTCTTTTTGGATCGAGGCCGGCCAGCGAAAGTCGCTGAGGATGGGCCGAAGGGGCAAGGCACAGTGAAAGAAAATTATTTTGCAAATTCAACATACAATTTTAATGTTTAAATTGAGCGTGTTTATTTCCATACGAGACTTTTTTCGTTTGGTACCGTGGAACGCCAAGGGCACCCTTGGGAAGGTTGCCCATCCTTGTTACGCGGGTGTGCTGGAAGGGCCCGTAAAGGGGGCATTTATATAGGGTTTGCCACATGCTCCGGCTTAACCCATCTGCCGTTGAACAGAGGTTTTGGAGTCCCAGATTCCAATCGACTATAAATCAGAGACAAAACAACCTACCTCGCTTTTGACCACCCTCGCTTCCAACCTGGAACCAAGTCATACCAAACTGCCCTCGGGGAAGTCGGCTGTGACCCACTTGGAAGCAGGAAGGCGCTTTAATCAAGCGCCTTCCTGCTTCAATGGTCGAGTGGCTTCGCCTTTTCCGTCCTCCCGAGGGAGCGGACGGAACCCAATCTGCTTTCAGCGCCTTCCTGTCTCATGTTCCCACTTGCCCCTTCCGACCGATGGGTACCCCGCCCGCTTCGTGAGAACTCTCGGCCGCCCGTCGCAGGCGCGGGGCCGCCCTCCCTGGTGCCCGTGGCCGAGCCTCCTGGGGGGCCCCCTCGGAAGGCCTCTCGGAGGCCTCTTGGGGCGCCTCGGAGGCCTCTCGCGCGCTCTTGGGGCCCTCCTGGGCGCCTTCGGTCGATCGTGTGGCGACCCGGGGCCCTCCTGGGCCGTCTTTCCGCAGGCCTAGAGATTGGCACCAACACCAAGATCGGCGGTGTGCCTCCACCGAGGGCAGACGATCCCGATCTCGGGGATGGCGGCAGTATGCTGGCACCCAGGGTGGCCGACATACTGCCACCAGCACCGAAATCTGGGATCATCTCCCCCCTTGTGGAGGCAACGTGCAGCTATGCGGAATTGCCCAGCGAAGAGTCCGCGGAGAGCGGGAGAAAAGAGAGGCTTTTTGTTGAGGGTAAGAGTGAGGGGGCACGTGCTTCTCTGTGACAGAGTAGGACCGTTCAGGCGTTCAGGCACCTCAAGCGATCGTCTCGTGCGTGCTGCTGGGGTCGGAGAGTGAGCGAGGGCAGGTGAGTTTGGGCAACCCCCTGTGCTTCAGCGAGCGAAGAATGGTATAACATAAACTTTTTCGCGGTCGGGGGCGCCTGTCCCTGGGCGGCTGGAAAGTTTACACCCCTACGGTGCCACCGCAAGGGTATAAACTTTCCAACCGCCCTGGGACAGGCGCCCCCAAGACCGCGAAAAAGTTTTATTTTAATAGGCGAGTCGCCCGGCAAAAGTTCCTCAGGAGGAGAGGAGGGAGGAGTCAGGAGGGAGGGAGAGAGGAGGAGGAGGAGGAGATAGGGGGGCGAGGAGGAGAAGGATAGAAAAGGAGGAGGAGGAGGAGAGGAGAGGAAGGGAGAGAGAAGAGGAGAGGCTGGAGAGAAGGCGAAGGCGTATGGGTGTATGGCAGCTGCCCATTTCCAGGCCTCCATCTTCCGGCGCGGCGCGGGAGCCTCGGCCATCCTGCGCCGGGGCGCGGGCCGCCCTCCCTCCCCCGGGTGTCCCTCCGCGCCGCGGGAACGGGGGCCGAGCCGCGGGCCCCCCCCCCCGCGGCGCCCCCGGCCCGCTGGTGCGGCCCCGCCCGCCCCGCCGCGGCGCCTCTCTGGACGCCCGAAATGGGTACTGAAAGAATGGATACTATGCCCAACAGCGGATCTTGTTCATTTTGAACAAGATCCGCTGTCCACGCCGCCGCGGCCTGTGTCCATTCGAGACAGGAGGCCGCCTGACCAACAGCGGCCCCTGTTGTTTTGGGACAACATTTGTCGTTGGGCATCGTGCCCATGCTTTCGGTACCCATTTCGGGTGTCCAAAGCCTCGGGAGGCGGGGCAGGAATCAGGAGCGAGAGGAGGACGTACACGTACATGAATCCGCGCTGGTTTCGAGAGTACGTGTTGCCCGAATGTTCGTATCACGCGGCCAGTCTCGCGGATCGAGGGGCCGTGTTCATGTACAGATCTGGGCGCGTACGTCCCTTGTGGGCTCCCTAAGGAAGGGCGGCGAGGATCTAGGCTGAAGTCGGGCGTGTCCCTCTACAGGAGGGGTCTCGTGCTGGACTCTCTCTTTTGGAACATTTAGTGGAGCGTTTCGGGGCCATTGCCAAGGTGTCCTTAGAACTGGCAGCGCACTTCAGCAGAACTTTTGATTGGATGACTGGCGCCACAGCGTGCACTAGACGCTCGGCCAGCGCCAGGTGTTTGGGAGGCTTTGCGCCCCCAGGTCGCGTTTTCAGGGGCCCCGCGTTGTTGTGCTTGTCGTTGCCGAGGAGAGAAAAAAGGGTGACGAGGATCTAGGCTGAAGTCGGGCGTGTCCCTCTACTGGACGAGTCTCCCCAAATAGTGAATCCAGTCGCAGAAGGGGGCGACTTGCTGGACTCTTTGGGAACATTTCGTTGGGCATTTTGGGGCGATTGTCAAGTGGTCCTTCAAAATCCACCTGTAAGCGGACATGCCTGACCTAAATCTAGGCCTCCCAGATGGGGTCGGAGAAGATGGGGTCGGAGGATCACGCCGCATCGCTAATGCATCGCCGATGCGGCTCGATGTGGAGCCCGATTTGCTTCACGTTGACGTCGCCGATGCATCGCCGACGTCGACGATGCGTCGCCAGTGCATCGGCGATGCGGCGCAATCCTCCGACCCCATCTACTCCGACCCTATCTAGGAGGCCTCTAGAGGAGGAGGAGGAGGAGGAGGAGGAGGAGGAGGAGGGGCAGGAAGGGGGGGGCGAGGTGGAGGAGGGGGGGAGGTCATTCGCGTTGATGGGCTGCCTCTGGCCGAGCCGCTCTTGCCAGGATAACGAGGTCTTGACCACGGACTTTGTGAAGGCCAAGGCTGCGCATCCCCGTCAAACTCTCCTCTTCGGACCCTCCCCCGATTTGCTTCGATACGGGTACGGATCGACCAAAATGCCCATACAACATCGAAAACGCCTCCGACGAGTCACCGCCGCCCCCTGCATCTTTGGCTTCTGGCGCAATGCTTCCATGATTTCTGCAGTGCATTGTCATCCCCGTCCACGTGGAACCTGTAACTGGCTTGCCGCCACGTTGACCTCAATCCATCAGGCATTCAGGCATTCGGGATGCGGAGTGGCCCCCAGGGTTGAGTCGGGCGTGTCTCTCCACAGGAGGAATCTTCAAACATAGTCCTCGGGCGTTTTTTTGTTAACGTTTTTGTGTGTGTGTGTGACTATTTTGTATTCCTTCCTCTGTTAATTAAAGCTGTGCGCGGCCCGCTTACCTTCGATCGGACGAGGCTCGCTCTCGACCCGCGGATCAAAAAAGTATGACTACTTGTGAGGATTTTTTGACCATCTTTTCTTTGTCGTCCAAAATCCGCCTGTGGGGGGGACACGCCCGACCTGACCCCAGGGGTCCGCTGCTGGGCCGAGCGTCCTCGTCCTCGACCCGCGGGCCGCAGCCGCTCGGCCCCGCGGCGGCGGCCCTGGCCTTGGCGCGGGCCTCGGCGGTGGCGGCTCTGGCCCATGCGGCTCTGGCCCCGGTGCCGGCAGTGGTGCGCCTCTGGCCCTGGCGTGAAGTCGGGCCTGTCCCTCCACAGGAGGAATATTTCAAAGTTATAGAAATAGGGGCGTTTTTTTTTGTGGGTTATATATATATATATGTCTATATATACATATATTAAATAATAATAATAATCATAATAATAATGCTAATAATAATACTACTAATAATATTAATAATAATATTAATAATACGAATAGTAGTAGTAGTAGTAATAATAATACTAATACTACTAATAATAATATTAATATCATTATTAATAATAATACTAATCATAATATTAACAATAATAATAATAATGATAATAATAATAACAATAATAAGAATAATAATTTTTATATACACAAACATATATATATATGTATACAAGGGCATTTTTGAGTATTCTGAATTTTTCGCCCAAGCTCCGCCTGTAGGGGGACAC